CAAATTTCTTAGCGTTGTCGTCCATTTTATTCAGCATCTCTTTGTATTTGTCATTCATTTTGTCCATTTTTTCGTCCATTTTCCTACTGTTGTCGTTCATTTCGTCCATCATTTTCCTACTGTTGTCTTCCATTTTGTCATTCATTCTGTCAATTTTTTCGTCCATTTTCCTACTGTTATCTTCTATTTTGTCCATCATTTTGTCTTTCATCTACATGAGCAGTGCAATCAAACTGGAGTTCTCCATTGCAGGGTCTTCCTTCTTAGATTTACTTCTTGTTTCCATCAAAATTCAATTTGGATTCTGGTAAATCCCACTTCTGACATTAAATGTACCGTGGATGGCCGGGTATCAAACTCTTTCTTCAGCTTCCAACTTTTATTCACCTCAGTATAATTTTAAATACGGAACAGGAACAAACTAACTTCTAAATTAACGTCAACTTCACAAACAATAACAATAACAAACGAAAAACTCGGTCTTCCTGATTCGCGGGGTTTAACCTCTTCTGAACTCGGTCGCTGCTGTCACTTCACCGACCCCCTGTGGTTCTCCTCGCAGCTTATATAGTTTTCTCCAGGTAACTCAGACGGTTCTCGAAATCTCCAGCCCAGGTGCGATATTTCCCGCTTGTCAGTGTCATATTTGACAGTAAATGGGGCGCAAAGGGGCTCCCATTTACTGAAATACCATGAATTTCGATCTCCATTCCAAACGTGAGTAAGCCAGGCCATTTCCGTTACAATATAAAGAAGTTTACGTCACGATTCGACCTAACATGTACAGTCGGAAACATGCACTTTTGTAACTTTTAAAGTAATTCAAACTACCAACCCCGTTCTATTACATATCAACGTGGAGCATGTGGCCCATTCACTTTATTCAAATTTTCATATACATTCAAAACTAATGCAAATTACAACGAAATTTGTTACTAGTATCCCTAATATTCAAGTACTGACTGTAAAATAAGATATTGCTGAAATACGGGGTGTACCAACAATGGAATAAATTAACGTTACACTTAACCGAATTTATTTGTTTGAAAGTTTTAAAACCGTTATATCATATATGCACTAAACGTGCACATTTTTAAAATATTGACAGTTGTACAGAGTGCGTCATATGAGATGCAGCAAATAAATAAAAAATATTTTCGAAGTATCTTCTTATGGCACAGTGTGAATGGATTGAAATGCGAAAGGCGTCGTGAAGTATAGCATAAATAAAGAGAAGTAGCTACGCAGTTCTCTCTTGCACGCAGACAGCCTCCCGCGAGTTTCATTTGGTTCCATTAGGCCGGTCATCTATTATAATAGTGTGTAGACTGTGGAGCGTTCCTGTGAATATAATAGTGTGTAGTCCGTAGGCCGGTGTTCTTTGAATGCGTTTTCGTGCGCACTGATTTCGTCGGAAACCGTGCGAAAGAAGTGATCATATTTCATGGCTACGTATAGAAGCTGGTCTACTAGATACAAAATAATTCGTACGAATTTGCACGAACCATTGTAAGTAAAATGGAACCTTAGGTCGCACGTCCTTTGGAAGGATTTCGTCGTATTTCGCAAATGTGGGTATCGTCCACTGGAGTTACATCCCCAGAAAATTCTTAATTTGTAGATTAGAATTACATTCTCACAGAAAGCGTTTATATTGTAAAATAAACGCATTTAAATTTAAACAAAGTTATGGGAACTTATTCGTTCCCATCTGAGCTTGCATTTTTGAAATAATTAATAGGTTGCACCTTTAGATAAGTCAGTTTTGTTACTGTAATCCTTGACGTAGTAAATAAAATTATTTTTTTAAATATCTCAATTTTGAGTTATTAACTCTTGAAGTTTTTTTACCGTACGAATTGGTCATGTGTTTTTATGTATCAAATAAGCACATTTATACATGGTAATCATATGGGGTGTTCCGTAAATATGTTAAAATATTTTAACAGCGTGTTATTCTAGTTATTTTGGAGGGGGTCTTCTTGAGAATTTTTTTAATTTGAGGTTTTGTTGTTGAGTTATTTGATTTCCAAAATGGCAAAAAATATTAGTTTTTGTTGTTTTCCTTTAAAACGGTTAAACATGGAAACTTCAGCTTTGGTATACATTATATTCTAATTGAGTGCCCTTTTATGATAGTGTTTCGTGGTTCAGTTTGCTTTTATACAGGGTAGGAATGTGGAACCCCTACTTTTAATAATAATATGGTAACAATATGCTCAACGGTATAAACAAGCAAAATTAAATTTAAAAAACTATTCTAATGTTAACTTGGCAGCTGTTGACATTCCGTAAAGTTTGCACTGAAGTTCTTATTTCATTAGAAATATTAAATATTCTTTCCTGAAGTTTTTCGATTGTATTCACTTCTGTTAAATACACCGTATTTTTTAAATTGCCCGAGAAGTGAAAATCAAGCGCGTTTAGATCGGGAGATTTAGGAGGCCAGTTTATATGAGCTTCTTGACCTCTCCCAATCCAACGGCTTGGAAAGTTTTGATCAAATCGAAACAATTTATTTTTTTACGGGCTAACTGAGTACTGAGCAAACAAAAAAGTTCTGAACAAAACAAAAGTAGGGGTTCCACATTTCTAATCTGCATAAAAATAAACTGAACTACAAAACACTACCATAGAATGGCACGCAATGAGCTTATAATGTGTACCAAAATTGATTTTTTTTTTATGTTTAACCGTTTTAAACAAAACCAACAAAAACTTATAATTTTCGCCATTTAGGCTGAAAAATGAAAAATCAAATTAAAAAAATTTTCGGGAAGACCCCCCTCTAAAATGACTAGGAGAACACGCTGTTAAAATATTCTAACATATTTACGGAACACCCTGTTTAATAATCAGCCTAGTTAAAACTGTGAATAATAATGGCTGTTTTCTTTTAGAAAATAGTCATCTTGTGAGAGGACAATTACCGTTGAAAAGAAAAAAAATATTGTGTTGCTGATACATTAGCAAAACGAAAAGAATTTGGAGAAATCCATCATTAATGTGAAGATTTAAAAAAGAACCGGAAAGTCTTATTAGTTTTTCAACATCCATTTCAGCTCGGTGGGTTTCAAAAATATTCTCTATTCAGTCAAAAACACTGCGAACCTACGAACAAATCCCATTTTATTCCAATAGCTCGCACATCGCAATGGTTCCTACGAAGGACTTTTGATTTTTCACGATCGAAAACTACTTACCTTGGCCAAAGCTACCATAAATTTCCGTTCATTTTAAATTGATATTTTAATGTTGATTTTTCGTCTGATAGAGCTCAAAATATATATATATATTTTTTTTTTCGGTGCGGTTTGGGAAATGCTCTTTTATGCACTCCCAGAGCTGGTGGTCTGTCGCTCTGGGTTGTGTGGTACTCCAGCTAAGCTGTTTACCCACTAAAACCCTTTCCTCACCGCCGAGGTGGTGTTTGGCCTTGCACCGCGGTCATTTCTGCCCTATTGTGCCCTCGTATTTTACTCCTTCATTATCCCTGTGTATTCAATAAATTCCACAAGAATCTTGGGGGGGAAGGTACGACACATGACCTGGTCTGGTAGTCATCCCTGGCTGCAGCTCGTTGATTTTCCCAAGCAGGTTCCTCTTTAAGAGTTCTTCCCGCTGAGGAGAAGTTTTTCTCGGGATATCCGACCGCCGCTATGGCCATCTTAATCCCGGAAACCGCCACTTTGCACGACTTGTGTGTGGTTCCTATCTATACGGAAGTTCCCACATACAGCCGCCCAGGTGCTGGCTTGTTGGGTGTGCTGCCATCCGACCGGTGTCGCTTTTGCGTCCCGGTCATGGCAGCTTTTTTGGGGTGTGCTGGTTCCC